ATGCCAACCCCAGTAAAATAAATCTTTAAAGAAAAAAAAGTTACAATTCTGATTAGACTGAAATAAATCTACAAATAATTGGAAAAAATTGCTACCTTTACAACACTGTCTTTAAGTCCACAAAAATGTTCCACCTTTCCATATATTTAGAACTTCTTTAAGATTTTTCAATATTAACAACTTGTTGCAAAACACTTGTTAGATTCTTTTTTTCTATGGGAAATAGTATCATTTTGATTGTTGATTTACAAAAATGCACCTGATTTTTATTGATTGATTTTAAATTTAGCCACTTTATAAAGTATTATACTGCCAGCATAATACAGACATCTTTGTTTTATTCCTGATCTTAAAAGGTCTTGTTTTTACAAGGCAAAGAATGCAGTATCATTATTGACCATTTGATTACTCAGTATGCTATTTCATCTACTACATAAGAAATACAGTAACTGAAAATATCCAAATATCTGTGGTAGCACAATTCTGTTCTGAGAAATTAAGTCCAAAAACTCAGATCATAAAAAGAAGCTGATGATGTGAAGAGGAGTTAAACTCAAGAGAATTCTAAAAACATCCCTCAACTGTTTTCCAAAATGATATTTTTTAAAAGATTTATTTATTTACTTGAAAGTCAGAATTAGAGAGAGAGAGGTAAAGACAGAGAGAGAGAGAAAGAGATCGTCCATCTGCTGGTTTACTCTCCAAATACCCACTGACAGCCAGGGCTGGGCCAGGCTGAAGCCAGAAGCCAGGAACCTCATCCAAGCCTCCCACGTGGGTGCAGGAGCCCAAGCATTTGGGCCATCTTCTACTTCTTTCCCAAGTGCATTAGCAAGAACTGGATTGGAAGTAGAGCAGCTAGACACAACCTGTTGCCCATACGTAGATGCCAGCTTAACCTGCTATGCCACAGGCTGGGCCTGAACATTATTTTTGAAGAGACACAGAGAGGAAGAGAGACAGGGAGGGAGAAAAAGGGAGGGAGAAAAAGGGAGGGAGGGAGGGACTCAAGGTGGGAAGAGGGAGGGAGAGAAGGGGGAGGGGAGGGGGAGGGGAAGAGAGAGGGATCAATCTTCCATCCACTGGTCTACTCCCCAGATGGCTACAATGGCTGGAGCTGGGCAAGGCTGGAGTCAGTGATTTTATCTGGGTCTCCCATGTGGGTGCAGGGCCCAAGTACTTTGGCCATCTTTGGATGCTTTTCCCAGACCATTAGCAGGGAGACGAATCACAAGTGGAGTAGCCAGGACATGGACCAGCACCCATAAAGAATACCAGCATCACAGGTGGCAGCTTTATCCATTACTCCACAACTCTGGTACCCAAAGTTTTTTCTATAGTTGTTTTGTTTCTGTCTCTCCTTTACCACAAATCCTTTAATGGCTTACTACTGTCCTTCAAACAGAGTTTGCCAATCTCCCATTTTACTCTAAAGAATGTTGCTACTGTTGAACCCATACCTGGGCAGGCCTCACTCAAGAAATTCTATGGTCAAATAAGTTATGGGAACATTCTGTTCACCCTGGAAGACTCATATTGTATATTATTCTAAATGGTCCGTGAAGTTATGTAATAAGGAAATATTTATCTTTGTTAATTCAACTTCCTTTCTCAAGCATGGAAATTTCCCCAACCACTTTTTATTTTTAATGTAATACAAAACAGTTAGCAAACATCAATAAATAAAGTATAAAGATTAGTTTCAAACCCTGGAATCAGACAATTTTTAGTCTATGGGTTTTATCTGCTTTCTGTAAAACTGTTATTTCTGTGAATCTGCAAATTCTCTAAAAAGGGATCCCACCGCATTTAAAAGCCATCACAAGGAATACCCTCATGAAGTGAAGGATGATCTATAATATCTTGATGTAACTCTAACATATGCTTGTTATATAATAAAAATACTGTGAGCAAAACTGAAAACTGTGAAAGTCACCATTACATAAATCCCTAAAAGACAAGAATTTACAAAGCTTCCCTTCAGAGAAATAAAATCTGTCAACTATTTCTACGATCAGTTATATATATTTTTAAGTTTAGAATACTACCATACTCAAAAAAGAATATCTAGCATTAAATATTGCATTCAGACAGTGAGAGGAAACAGTTAACACAGCAAGTCTATTACTCAGTCTTGCTAATCTCTAGGGGATGCCTGAAGCTGGCAATGACCTTAGCCAAAGTCAGAGAACTAAACTCTTGGAATGTTCACAGTCACTAGTTAATGATTTTATTTAGTATGTTCCAGGAAAGGAGCCTGAATGTACCAGTCTGTCAGCATTATTTAAAATAATAACCATCTAGAGGGTTAAAGCCCTGGCCTGCAGCACCGGCATCCCATATGGGCACAAGTTCAAGTATCAGCCACTCCACTTCCAATCCATCTCTCTGCTGCGGCCTGGGATAGCAGTGAAGATGGCCCGAGTACTTGGGCCCCTGCATCCACGTGGGAGACCTGGAAGAAGCTCCTGCCTCCTGGCTTCGGATCAGCTCAGCTTTGGCCATTAAAGTCATTTGGGGAGTGACCCAGAGGATGGAAAACCTCTCTCTGGCTTTACCTCTCTCTGTACCTAATAAATAAAATAAATCTTTTTAAAAAAATAAAATAACCATCAAGAATCACGATGTGCACCTGATACCTGAAGTACCAAGTTTCAGTCACCAGGAAAGTCATATAGCAGAAAGGTACCTAAGTGACCAGGTTCCTTTAAGAACACTTGTGTGCTTACCTTGCTTAGAGATATCTTCTACATGTCTCTGTTACTCACAGATAGACAGCAAAGTGTGTCCATGTAATTCTTAGGGGAGACTTAAAAGTCTGAATCTGATCTCCCTAGCATTCACTTGTATATATCTTTTTCTTGTGGTTCCTACATTGTATTCTTTGCTGTAACACATCTTAGCCATGAATACAACTTTGTGTTGGGTTATGAATTCTAGTAAATCGATGATTAGGACCACCCAAAACAGATACATTAAAAAACTTGGTTTTGGAGCAGGTGATTGGTACAGTGTGTTAAGCTACCACTTGAAATGCCCACATCCCATATTTGAGTACCTGGTTCAAGTCTCAGCTCCTCTGCTTCCAATCCAGCTTCCTGCTAATGCACACCCCGGGAGGCAGATGATAGCTCAAGTATTTAGGTCCCTACCACGCATGTGGGAGACTCAAGAGTTCCAGGTTCCTGGCTTTGGCCTGGCCAGACTTGGTTGTTGTGAGCATTTGGGGAATGAACCAGTAGATAGAGCTCCGTCTTCTTACTTTTCAAATAAAACAAAAGTAACTAATTTTTTAAAAAACTGGTTTACTATAACATCTATTTCTTCTATTATTTGTCAGAGGCTAAATGGACATAACTAGTTCACTCATTCTTTTGTTCCTTCCTTTCAGATTTATTTATTTATTTGAAAATCAGAATTACAGAGAGAGGGAAAGACAGAGTGAGATCTTCCATCCACTGGTTCATTCTCCCATTGGCTGCAATGGCCAGGGCTGGGCCTGGCTGAAGCCAGGAACTTCATCTGGGTATCTCACATGAGTGGCAGGGGCCCAAGCACTTGGACCATCTTCTGCTGCTTTCCCAGGCCATCAGCAGAGAGCTGGATTGGAAGTGGAGCAACGAGGACACAAACCAGCACCAGCATGGGATGCCAGTGTCACAGGTAGTGGCCTTATCTACTATGCCACAACGCTGGCCCCAATCACAGTTTCTTTAAATGAATAAACCAATTTTCAGGAAAAACAAGGCAGGCATGAAATTGCTATCCTTAGAAAGGATTGGTTGGCAAGGTTGGTCTTTGGCTGGTGTCTGGGAACTTGAATCAGAGTTCTCCACAATGATATAAAACTTTCCCTAAATTTTCAAGTGTGGCTCAATGTGTCTAAATCATTTGCATAAACAATATGGCTTATGCTAAACACCTGCTTTCATTCTGGGACTCTGAAAGTGTGGCATGTACTAAACAGAGGGTGCCTATGTGACAGAGGGTGCCTATGTGACAGACCCCAATAAAAACCTTGGGCATTGAGTCTCTGAGTTTCTCCAGTAACTACATTTTACATGTATTGTCACAATTCACTGCTGAGGAATTAAACACACCCTATGAGACTCCACAGGAGGAAGACTGGTAGAAACTTACATCTGGTTTCCTCTGGACTTAATCCCTTTTGATGATATTGCTTTGTATCCTTTTGCTGTAATAAATCTTACCTATTAGTACAATCTTCTACTAAATCCTGAGTCCTTCTAGCTCAACACTGAACCTGGCAATGCAGTCTTAGGAACAACCAACACAATCAGCATATCAAAACATCAGGGAATAACTATTAGCCTAAGTTAAAATCTGGATTCATATTTTAGCCCCAACCCTTATTAGTTATTTGACTTTAGTAGCAGTATTTGTGAAAACCTGAATCTCTATTCCTTTCAATGAGAAAGACACACCCACCTTCCACTAAATGAAGGCATGCACAACAAACTCCTAAATCATAATACACTCAGTAAATATTAAATAATATCTCTAGAGGCACTTTCTTAGATGCAACAAACAACTGGTAATCTTTTATACATGTACTTGATGCAGTGAGAATTGAAATGGTCATTTGAAATACTACAAAGAGAAACTCAAAAACAAACTTTGATCCCGCACCTTCAACACTGGCTCTGCAAATTATTTCCATATCACATGACAGGATTACTGTTAAGCTCAAGCAAGTTAAACCCTATATAATAAGTTATCTTATGATTTCTGATGCTGTTCTTCATTTAGTCTTTAAATTGGCCACCCAAATGAGAAGTGAATATATTAGTTAATCACTAGGGGGACTGTGCTTTATGTTTACATTTTCCAACTTACTAGGATTTAGTATGAGTCACTCCCTTGAATGAATATGAGGCATAAAGTCCAATTAATATAAGTTTTAAGTCTACAGAGTTGTAAGATCAAATCTCAAAGTAAAGCACAACCTTGAAGGCATTCACTCCCAACCATGAACTTACCCCACAGTGGTTTTTCAAATGAATTCATATCCCAAATCCATATGTCCCACATCTCCTGTTGAAAAATAAATTTCTTAAAATCAGTTTATTTCAGAATGACTCTATTCTACCCCCTTACTTCAGTGACTCTGTTCCACCTAAGACTCTGTTGCCACCTAAGTACAAAGACTATCTTATTCAGATACTTCCCCAATGCTAAGCACAGTATATCCCACAACAGGAGTTCAGTCAATGTCTATTACATGAATGAAGGAGTCAATGAGTACAGTATTACTGAAATCCAAAATGAAACTCAACTGAAATACTGTAAAATTATCTTTCCTACTCCTAGAATACTATGAAGGGGGCCAACACTGTGACAAAGTGGGTAAAGCTGCTGCCTGCAGAGCTAGCATCCCATATGCATGCAGGTTCGAATCCCGACTGTTCCACTTCCAATCCAGCTCTCTGCTATGGCCTGGGAAAGCAGTAGAAGACGGCCCAAGTCCTTGGGTCCCTGCACCCTTGTGGGAGACACGGAAGAAGCTCCTGGCTTCTGGCTTCAGACTGGTGCAGCTCCTGCTGTTGTGGCTGTTTGGGAAGTGAACCAGCAGATGGAAGACACCTCTCCCTCCCTCCCTCCCTCTCTTTCTCTCTGCCTCTGCCTTTCAAATAAATAAATCTTTTTTTTTTTTTTTTTTTAAGAATACTATGAGTATATTAACCTTCCAGGTCTAAATGTCAAAGGCACAGGACAACATTTGTGGCAGACATCATTTGTTCTTAATCCTACTCCCACATTTTTCACTGCATTAGACCCCAAACTGAATCTAAGTAATCACTTGCTACTAAGTTATCTACTCCTAAAAAATACAAGCCAACCATGGTCACTCAATTCCTCTTGCCAGTGGAACTGACAAATTTTGACCAATGGGACCCAATGGGAAGTCTACTGGGAACCATTCTGGAAAAGTTATATGCTCTCAGAGATACAGAAGGAGAAACTAGGCTTTTCCACTACTTTTGGAGACTGTACAACACACTTAAAATTGCTATAACCATCACACAGCGATGAGAAAAGCCATCTTCCACATGCTGAGGATGACAAGGACTCAGATGATCACAGAGCTAGACCAACCTTGAAATCTCCTATGTCCAAATTTCTCATATGAGAAGATAAAGTCCTCAATGATTAACTAGGAAGTCTACTATAGTCAAAAACATCCTGATACAGCACTCTACAAACTACAATCACCAATTTAGTTAGGTATGTGTCTCGTGAATAAAAAACAAAATACTGCAGCAATAAATCAGTAAAGGATCTATATTAAGAAGTCTACTTTTACAGGAAATTGTATAGAAGTAGAATTTCAATATAAATTTAATGGCTACAAACTAGAACTTGGGGTGCAACCAGTCCAAAGTATTACTGAATCTACCATAGAAACATCTATCTCTAATTCACTCAAACTTTGTCAAATATGTGCAAGACGTGATGCTAAATGGTCTGAGGCACATACACCACCGTCCCGGCCTCCAGAAAAAAAAAGTCCACCCCTATCCCAGCATTCGTACAATTTGGGGTGATAGGTAAGTTAAGTGCTATGGTTGAATAGAATTTATTCCCTCTGAAACTCAGGCTGAAATTTCTATTGCCTTTGTGGTGGTGTTGAAAGGTGGGGCTTGTAAGAGATAACAAAGTTGTTAGGAGGATTAATGCCTTTCTTGAGGGTTAATTATCATGGGATGAATTACTGAGAGGACAAGTTGTTATGAACCAAGGCTACCCCCTTGTGTTTTACCTCTTCTGCACATGCTCACTTGTCCTTCCGCCTTCTACCATGCTGCACAAGGCCCTCACCAGATGTAACTACCTAACTTTGGACTTCCCAGTCTCTAACGTTGTGAGCCAAAATAAACCGCTTTCAAGATTAACTAGCCTCAGGTATTCTGGCATAGCAAAAGAAAACAGACTAAGACAGTAAGCTTGTCTAAAATGTCACAATTTATAAAATGCCTTTATATATATATCTTTGCAAAAGGTGGAAGGAGTTGCAAGGGGCTACCATGTACCAAGCAGAAAAACTGTTAAGGAGAATCACTAAGGAAGTGGACTGAGTTAGGAAAAAGCAAAAGCAACAGGGTATTTCAGGTAGACAATCATAAAAGTGCAACTAATGTGTGGGGAACAGCAAACAGAATTGTGACATAGGGTTGAACGGGCATGTTCAAAATAGAAATCTTTGGGGACAGGTGCTATGGTACAGCAAGTGAAGCTGTTGCTTGAGATGCCCTCATCCCATACTGGAGTGCCTGGACTCGAGTCCCAGCTACTCTGCTTCCGATCCAGCTTGATCCAGCTTCCTGGCAATGCGCCTAGAAGTACTTGAGTCTCTACACCCACATGAAAGACCCAGATGGAATTCCTGGCTCCTGGCTTTAACTTAGCCCAGTTCAGTTCCAGTTGTTGCCAGCATTTGAGAGCAATAGCCAGAATGTGTCATTAATTTTTTTCCAAGTTTCATTTCTCTCTTAACAAACACCTAGTCATGTAGTACAATGTGTTGAGGTTTCAGAAAATATGAATCTTCTCCTCGCAGCCATGAACCTAGGCAACAGGAAATACACCACCATCATCAACAATGGAAAACCCCAGGCATCTCACGGAATAATTACTGAGAAGTAAAAAAATCCATCAGGAACTTCCTCCAGGTCAGGGAGCTACAATGTTTTCTAAGGTTTTGCTCTGTATTTTTGCCACAATACCAATCTTAGCCCTGAAGTTTCATTAATGATATCTTCTTCCCTCAAATACAATTCTCTCTTCTTTGCTATCTTTATGTGTTTAGTCTTTATTCTCCACCTCTAAGGGCCAGCTTCACTTCAATGGAACCATTAACCTGATCAAGTCCCTTTAATGTCCTAACTACCAACATAACTACCAATACCAGTCTCTTATCCAGACTCATTCTACTTGATGTTTCAGTCCTCTAAAATTATTTTTTAAATAGACAGGCTATAAATAAAACTTCTCTTTGTACCCAGGGTCATCCTTTTTTCCTCCACTTTTCTGACCACACTTCATAGTGTCCTTTATTGGTTCTTCCTAATCTGTCCTGGATAATCTCAGGCCCCTTTGACACTAACCTAACCATACTTCCTGTGGGAAATCCATCAAGTGCACAGCTTCACCTTCCATGTGCTACTGGCTCTGAAATCTTTGTTTTTCTGGGACTTTCTAGTTACAGCACAGGCTTCTCTACCATGGAAATTATGTTTTTCACACTTGAGCAGAAAATGTTATGAAATGTCTTAAGACAGCAGAATCATCCACAAGATAGCATCTCTACCTCACTGGTATTATTTATCCTTTCTTAATGTTTTACTTTGTATGTAGCATCAAATACTAATATAGACCAAAATATGTATTAATTATCTTTTAAGTACCAACAGTGCAAGGACTTATACATATATATGTATTTTTTTTAAAGATTTATCTATTTATTTGAAAGACAGATTTACAGAGCAGCAGAGGCAGAGGTAGAAAGAGAAAGGTCTTCATCCACTGGTTCACTCCCCAAATGGCCTCCATGGCTGGGGCTGGGCTGATCCAAAGTGAAGAGCCAGGAGTTTCTTCTGGAACTCCCACATGGAAGGAGGGGTCCAAGGACACTGGCCATCTTCCACTGCTTTCAAAGGCCATAGCAGAGAGCTGGAACAGAAGTGGAGCAGCCAGCACTAGAACTATAGGCAGCGGCTTTACCAGCTACACAAAGCACCGACCCGGGACTTATATTTTAACACTGCTACACTGCTCAGCACAAGGCAAAGAGCTCAGGAATTCTTTATTAAATGAAAATACCAGAAAACAACTCAATGTGATAAGGAAGAAATACATTTTAGGGCCAGCACTGTGGCAAAGCACATAAAGCTGCCGCCTGCAGTGTCAGCATCCCATATGGGCGCCAGTTCTAATTCTAGCTGCTCCTTTTCTGATTCAGCTCTCTGCCATGGCCTGGGAAAGCAGTACAAGATAGCCCAAGTCCTCGGCTCCTGTACGGGAGACCTGGAAGAAGCTCCTGGCTCCTGACTTCGGATCACCTCAGCTCTGGCTGCTGCAGCCATTTGGGGAGTGCAACATCAGATGGAAGACCTCTCTCTCCCTCTTTCTCTTTCATTCTGCCTGTACCTCTCTGTAACTCTGCCTTTAAAGTAAATAAACAAATCTTTTAAAAAAAACTGGATGAAGAATGACACATATGGAATACAAAAAATGAAATGATAGAAATAAATCTCAATGCTTCAGTTACTAAATAAGATTTAAAAATGGGGTAGCCATTTGGCCTAATGGTTAAGATACCTACATCACCTACCAGAGTGCCTGGGTTCAAGTCTGAATTCCATTTCAAATTTCAGCTACCTGCTAATGTGCACACTAGGGGTCAATGGTAATGGTTTTAATTGGGTTCCTGCTACCCACGTGGCTTTTGTCCCCCAACTGTTACAGGCATTTGAAGAGTGAACCAGAAAATAAGAATCAATCTCTCTCATAAATAAATGTTTAAAAAATATTTATTTGGTGCCGGCACTGTGGCATAGCGGGTTAACACCCTGGCCTGAAACACCAGCGACCCATATGGCACCGGTTCAGCTGCTCCACTTCCAATCCAGCTCTCTGTTATGGCCTGGGAAAGCAGAAGATGGCCCAAGTCCTCGGGCCCCTGCACCCACGTGGGAGACCCAGAAGAAGCTCTTGGCTCCTGGCTTCAGATTGGTGTGGGTCCAGCCATTGCGGCCAATTGAGGAGTGAACCATTGGATGGAAGACTCTCTCTCTCTCTCTCTCTGTAACTTGACTTTCAAATAAATAAATAAATCTTTTAAAAAATAAATAAATATTTATGTATTTGAAAAGCAGAATTATGGAGTTGGCAGGACGGGTGGTGGTCTTCCATCCATTGGTTCCAAATGGCAGCAATGGAGCTGAGCCAGTCTGAAGCCAGGAGCCTGGAGCTTCTTCTGGGTCTCCCATATGGATGCACGGACCCAACGATTTGTACTATCTTCTACTGCTTTC